ATTGTTTGCATTTTTTACAATGAGTATGAACCACTTTTTAAAAATAAAAACAATGAAGTATGGGGCTGGCAGGTGGCATGATGGTTAAGGGTGCTGGATTCCCACATGGCTGACTGCAGTTCAAGTCCCAGACTTGGTGACTTGCTCTCTCACTTTCTGTCTCTCTCTCTTCTCTCTCTCTCTCTCTCTCGCTCTCTCTCGCTCTGTCACTCTCTGGTCAAATTAAAATAAATAAACAATAATAAATAAAGTTAGATAAAGTAATTCTTAAAAAAAAAAAATAAAAACAAGTAATTTAAAAACTAACCAGATAACATCTATATAATAATAGGAGTAGTCAACACTTAGCACTCACTATACACCAACTATTACGCTAAACACTTTATAAACGTTATCTCATTTAATTCTATCAACAAACCAGTGAGGTGGGTATTATTATTATTATTTTACTGGTGAGGACATTGAAGCTCACAGAGGTTAAATGAGTTGTCCAGGTCATCAGCTATTAGGTGACAAGCCTAGATCCACACTTAGGTTTTTCTACTCCAACCTCCACATAGATTAAGGGAAACTATAAAGGCTATATTTTCACCAGGTGCATGTGCGCACATGCCCCAAATCTCAAGAGGATAAGGGAGGGAACCAGCAGTTAGCGTAATGGCTATGTCGCTGGACTCTCACGTAGTCAACCATGGTTCGTGTCCCGGACCTGGTGACTTAAAACTCACTCCGGGCGCATGTGCGTGCGTGCCCAAGATCCTGAGAGGAGAATGGAGGAGAAGGGGTTGCGGCGTGACCATCCCCCCTGGGGGGGTGATTTCTCGCTTTCTGTCTCTGTCTCTCTCTGTCTGTCTGGCGAGCGCACGCGCCCTATAGAGAAAACCCTCTCCAAAAAAAAAAAAGAGGATAAGGGAGAAGGAATCCCAGCATGGCCATTCCCCCAAGGGTGTTTTCTCTTTCCTTCTCTCTCTCTTTCTGTGTGTCTCTCTCTGGAAAGCCCATGCAATTTAATAACAATTTTTTTAAAAGGCTTGATTTGGGGACCAGCAGTTAGCTTAACGGCTATGTTGCTGGACTCCCACGTAGTTGACCGTGGTTTGTGTCCTGGACCCGGTGGCTTAAAACTCACGCCGGGCGCGTGTGCGTGTGTGCCCAAGATCCCGCCGAGAGGAGAATGGAGGAGAAGGGATTGCGGTGTGGCCATCCCCCCTGGGGGGTGATTTCTCGCTTTCTCTCTCTCTGTCTCTGTCTGGCAAGCGCATGCGCCCTATAGCGAAAACCTCTCCAAAAAAAAAGGCTTGATTTTTATTTCCAAAATATGAACACCTCAAGCACCGAATGGAAAAAACTTAACCATAGGTTAAGAGTTACCACAAGGGCCCACGAATGCCAAGTGATGGCAGGAAAGGCCTTGGGGACCTCCGACCTCACTCACTGGCAGCGATGTGCACAGCACAGCGGGGCCCCTCTGTAAAGCCATGGAGCCCAGGATAGAGAGAGAGGCTTTGAATCCATGTCCTTTGTGGAACTGGGGAACTAGAGTTCAGCTTGGAGACCAGCAGACTCGAATGGAGCATGGCAAAGGTCCCCAGCGCTTTGAAAGTCTACCGTGCAGAGGAGAGAATAAGCCGTGTCACATTGCTCCAGAGTGCGGAGTGATCAGAGAGGGCGTTTGCAGGTTACCGGGACCAAGCGCTCCCGGGCAAGTGGGGGTACTTGGAGAGACTTTCTAGACTGGATGGGAGGGCAGGCCGGACGCTGGTCCTGCATCTCTACTGGACCCCACCTTTTATTCCTGTGCTGCTTCCCCGCCCCGGCATCTGTGCAGTCCTGCCTCTGCTTCCCGCTGCCTGCGGCTTCTCCCCCCCGCGACCCCTCCCAGCTCC